AGGAGGCGTTGGCAAACGAGAAGACAGAGGAGAAGCCAACGGCGGACGCCAAACTGGCGGCGGAAGCCAAATCGACCTTGTCAGAGAGTGAAGGTGCATTGCCTGAGACCGTGCCACTTGGTCAGCCTGATCCCACCCATGATGACACGCAGCTTGTGTCTGGGACGTACGTGGATGAGGCTTTGGCTGCGGTTCAGCTGGAAGACGAGGCTGCTGGCCTGCTGAATACCCTTGTGGATGGCAGCCTGCCCCGCGGCCAATCCCAAAGGCCATGTTTTGTTTTATTTGCAAACCTTTCACAAAATCGCCTGAAGGTCCATTGGCACTTTGCTCCAGGGGCAAGACTTGCTCAGGGGCAAATCTTGTATCAGTCTGGGGAGTTCATCCGAAGAACAGCCAGACGCAGCCGCTAAGAAGCTGGAGGCGGAACTGCCAAGGTCTCAGGTCTAGCAGCCTCAAGCTTTCATGTGCATGAGCATGGTCATGAGCATGGCCATGAGCATGGTCATGCGCATGTTCATGAGCATGTTCACGCGCATCCAGTTAGTTATACATGGATGGGTTGGGTGGGTGGGGTCACGTTTCAGCTTTTTGTATCACATTGGGCTCATGCCTGAGGCTGGGTGTGGGACTGGATGGCCAGGGGTGCGGGCATGCTGCGTCACAAACACCCTCAGCAGCAACAGCACCGTCAGCTCCTGGAACTGTGCGCTACGAACCGCCTGTGGAGCCCGAAAAGCCTGCAGAGCCGATCACTTGCACTTCTTCCACGCACCGCAAGGAGTGGGCTGTGCTCTCTCGTCTGCCAGGAGGTAAGAAAGAAAGTGAGTTCCCAGAGATTGCCAGGGTATTTGCTTCCAGCAATCACAGCGAGAAGCTTAGCATCTTGAAGATGTTCGTGGAGTCTGGGGGAGACCTTCAGAAGTGCGAGTCTTCATGGACCTTCTCACGGAAACAACGTGAGAAGACAAACAAGAATCGTCAATGCCTGACGATTGCTGAGATGATCAAGGCTGGTTGCTCAAAGAGCTTTGCATGATTTATGCAGTCTTTTGTTTTTCTCCTGTAGCGCACAAGCCATAGATAGCGCGCGCCGGCTGTATAGGTTGGTTACGTGAAATATATTGGCCCTGCAATCTCTGCGCTGCCAAGGGCCAAGATCCTGTCGTGCATCCAAAAGGGGGGGAATCCCTGATGAAGATGCGCCAACAGATCCAGCATCTACCCGATATTGGTGCACGCTCGTGACTTCTCAAGACCTGTCCGACGAGCATGTGACGCAAACCAAGGTCGAAGGCGTCGCAAACCCACTACAGGCAGTTGCGGCAATGCGGGTAGGTCAAGCTGGCTTACTTGGCAGGGCCGCGGCGCCTCCGCTCCCAGACCCCATGGCCATGATCAATGAGCAAATGTCAAGCGCCGCATCATCTGCTGGACAGCTGGCGTCTGGGATGAGCTTGCCAGCTTCAGCGCCCAAAGGACCGACTCATGTAGCTATATAGCTGAGTTTTTGTGGATTCAAGGGTTTTCACGGCGATTCACGGGGTTTCTTGCCGAAATCATGGTTTTTCACGGTCGCCTTACCAGGACAAGCCAAGACTAAAGCTTCTGCCAAAGCAAAGGGTGCAAACCAAAAGCCATCGCCTCTCTCGAGCATGGCATTGGCGTCAAAGACTGTGCCAGAGAAGGTCGCCTTGATCCGCGCAGGGCTTGGGATTGATGTTTTCCATTTCTTGTGCGTGGTTGATTTTTGGTGTTTCAGGTGGTGAGATCAAGAAGGAGTTGAATCTCATCAATGGGCTCCAGCTGGAGCTGGGTGACAATGAGCGCTTCAAAGATGGTTGTTCAGCCATGTCTACATTTTCCGGGACTTTGCAAAGTCATTTCAAGAGGCTTGACTTGGCCCAGTGAGCTCAGTTAGGTCCTATTTGTTGCTGCAGGCTTGACACCTGCACCGATGAGTCCACCTTGACGGGCTTGCTCAAGGATGTCCAGAGCGTTGCGCGGGACTTATGAGACAAGCGTATGCTGTAGAAGAGAAACAGGTTCTCATTCTGTAAGGTTTCGGACTGCCGCATGAAGCGGGCTGAGCTTGGCGCTGTCTTGAAAGAGCTTCGCAAGTACATCTGCCTTGTTTCTCTTCTCTGCTTCCAAAAACTTGTCTTCTTCTTCATTTTGCTTGCCAGGGGGTATGGCGCATGAATCTGACATTGGGCCACTTGTTTGGCGGCCAAATTTTGAACGCGAACCCATTCAGAGGTTCGACCCGTTTGCTCGGACTAGAACCATTTCTTCAAGCACAGCTGGTGCAAAGTGAGAAATGTGTGTTGCTTCCTGCAAGAGCTTCAGCAATTAAGAAGCACATGTTTCTTTGCTTAGGTTAGTCGTTTTGCTTGAGAGGTACGGCCTCAATGCGAAGAGCTCTTGATGAAGTGTTTGGCCCTTGACTTTTTTACAGCGCTCGGCGCTTGCCCACAGATATGTTTTTGGTCGCAGGCTCGCTGGGGAAGTTGGGCGCGGTGCTTCAACTTTGGCCTCGGCCAATCGAATTGGTGACAGATATGGGTCTACAATTTTTGGGTGCGCCTCTCTCAAGCGTTCTGACAGAATGTGCAAAATAGTTTTTTTGGTCAGGCGAGGGTCAGCTCATGACGCCAGAATGTACCGAAGATTGCTGGGGGGAGGGCTGGCTTTTGACAAAGTCATCAGTCACGTGAGAATTCCCATTTGCAATGATGATGGGGTCGTGGAGTTTCAGAGCTGGCCTATGATAAAGCCTCCTGACTTAGTGCCTAGACTGAAGTATGACTCTGTCTCTGTGTCTGTGCGGGTGTGTGAATCCTTCTTGCGTTGTTCGATGGTGGGCTTTGTCAATCTGTGTCAATCTGCAGGCTGCCGCTTTGCTATCCAATGGGCATAGGGATGTTCTTGGACAAACAGCGCCTCATTTTTGGGCGATGCTCCAGAAACATTTTGGCAGGCCAATTCCGCCCCATGATGATACCATTGCCATCCAAATTTATGGCGATGAGATACAAGCATGGGAGACTACACAGCTCATGGCTTTCCATTGGATGCCGGAATGCTCGCCTTTTGAGAGCGACCCCTCCCGGTCGCGATTTCTCATCGCAGTTTTGCCAACATCGGCGTACGCTTATCAAGATAAAATTAACATCACGCTGCAGCAACTTCTACGAGAAGTGGTTGACTCATGCAACCAGTGGTCGCGCGAAGGTGTAGCTGGAGTTTTTGCGCAAGTCACCACGGTGAAGGGTGACTGGAAGTGGCTTGGGCAGGCGCTGTCGCTAGAAAGGCTTCCAACCAGAAACCAATTTTGTTTCCTTTGCGAAGGAAGCAAGGATTTGGTGAAACCATGGACAGATTTGGGGGGGGCGGCGCTCTGTGGCGCCATGATGTGCCCCAAGAGCCCTGGCTGGTGCGCCCAGCCCTTGCTGACTTGTTGAACTTTGATATGGGATGTGTGGGGTTGGATTTGCTGCATCTCTGGAGCCTTGGGATAGCCAGGGATGTCATCGCTAGTTGCGTGACGATCCTCCTGCGAACGCGTTTCTTTCAAGGCTCGACTGTGTCCTGGATTGGCTTCAATAATATCTTGTTGGTGGTAGACGTTGCTATATATTTGTTTACTGTAGTTGGTGGCTGTGTGTTCCTTCCTGCCTGAGATGTTAAGGTGGAATTGCGCATGAAATCCGCTGGCCAGCTGGCTGTTGAGTTTGCAAAGCAGCACACGAAGTACCGCTTGCCAGCCAAGTTTCACTTCTCAAAAGCAAGGCTGAGGCTCAAAGGTGGGAAGTATTGCCACTACACAGGTAAAGGCTGGCAAGCAACCGTTCTCATGCAATGGCTCGGCTGGCTTGTTGCTAGCCATGAGGATTTGCCGCTCGATGACAACATCAAATGTTTGATCTGGACGGGCAACAACTTCATTGGGATGCTCTATGAGTCAAAAGGCTCCAATGGGCACTTTTTGACGGAACAGCAGGCCAAGCAAATCCAAGCCATTGGAGGAGTCTTCGTCACGACGTACTTGAACCTCAATCGTGCCTATCAAGGGTGGTGCACCTACAAGCTGTGGAATTGTAGGCCAAAACTACATCTCCTGGTGCACTTGCTGGATGGCGTTGCTAAATTGAAAAACCCGCTGGCAGGTGTGACCTGGCTAGACGAAGGGTGGTTGAAGACTATCATGGCAATTGCGAGAAAAACGCACGTTAAGTGCACTCAATCGTCGACACTGAAGCGCTACTTGGCAGGCGTCCCTGCAGAGCAGCTTTAAACCCATGATGGTTGTGTGGCCCATGCAGGCTTGAAGCAAGTAATGCGTGAAGCTTCAGCTGAGATGAAGAGGTGTTGGGTTTGCGACTGCAGGGTGTATACATGTGGGTCATGAGCATGAGCATGAGCACACGCTAACATGCATGAGCATGAGCATGGGCATACGTTAACATGCATGAGCGTGCGCATATGTCTTCTAACGTTAAGCATGACATTTTGAGTCACGTCATGCGTGTGCATATGCATCATCGTAACCATATGTATATATATATATACATATATATATATATATAACGCGAATTTGTTTTTGGGTCATTGGCGTGCCATGTGTGGTTACACGCCATATGTCGCGCGGAGGGCGTACGCGCGTGTTGCCCTTGATGTGTGTTGGGGGTTGCCTGTGCTGCCAGGAGTCCTGCTGACGGGTTTGCGAGCTGATTGTCTGACGTGAGAGTGAAAAAGAATGAATGGGGCCAAATGGGATCTGGAGCGGTTGAGCGGTATATAGTGGTGTGTTTTGCTTTGCGAACGGTTGTGTGAAGTTTTGTTTCTTTTGAAGAAGTCCCCACAGGAAAGGGTTTTCAAGTTGATTTGGCATATCTGGGGGTTTTCGTGTGTATATGACGGTCTGGGTACCTCTCTACATGAGGCCTCCGAAAGATGGCCTGATCGAGAAGAAGGGCAGGTCAAGCCAAGACCCTGTCATGACTCCCACCGAGCAGAAGGAGTACCGGTCCGTCAGCGGCTGCTTGCAATGGGCAGCGACACAATGCAGGCCTGAGATCTCACCGCTCAGCCTGTCCAACCAAGGTGCACAGACCACCTACCAAGGCCTCAAAGACCTGTACGAGGGCCTGGACTACCTCAAGTCCACGTCGATGCAGGGCCTGACCATCCAGGACATCCCCTTCACCAAGGACTCCCTGGTGCTCGGCTACTCAGACGCGAGCTGGTGCAATGCCAGCCGAAGCGGCTCTCAGATCGGTCTGGTGATTGGCATCGCCAGCATGGAGGCAAAGCAGAAGCCGGTGAAGTTCACGCCGTTAGATTGGCGGAGCTCACGAGCCCCACGGGTCTGCCGATCGACTCTGGCAGCTGAAGCTTGCGCTGCGGACGAAGCAGCTGATCGTGGAGCATACCTCAACCGGATCATCTCTGAGTTGATCTATGCACAACCCTCACACCGAGTTGGCTGCCGCATGTCCTATGCCCAGGCCACGGACGCCCGCTCGCTCTACGACGCCATCATGGCTGAGGCGCCGAACATCTCGGACAAAAGGTCCCTGGTGTCAGTGAGGAGTGTTCAGGAGGTGGTGGACACACACCAGCTCCACTGGGTCCCAACGACCCTTCAGTTCGCAGACGGCCTATAACAAAGGCCGATGTTCAGCTTCGCAGCGTGTGCAGGGCATGGTTTGAAGACCCGATGGCGGTCCTCTCGGATCACCCGCAGAACGCGGAACTTTTGAGCCGGCTCGGCGCCAAGGCCAACAAAATAAAGACCAGTGAGAAAGTTGCACCATGATTTCCCTTGTCCTTGGCACCTCGCGGTTCGAAACTAGGATCCTGAGCCTTTACCCGTTTTTCACCTTGCGGTGTGCGGAAACATGTTTGCGCGCTGATCGCCGATCGGACGCTGTCGAGAGTAAGAATCTAGTCACAAAATATATTTGCTTCTAATGTGGTCTTTGTAACGCGCTGTTCGGAGGAAAAGCAGTTCGTTCTTTGCGGCTCCATTCGATTCACAGGTTTCTGCTATATAATATATATAGGTCTTCGTAGCCTCAGTTGTTTGTTGGGTGATTTAGGTAGGGAGATCCGGGCGAAACAGGCACCGTTCAACCATTGTTTGGTGCTTGGTGTTGGGATTTTTGGATGAAACACGGGAGCTTCTTGGATCTGAGTGACACGACCCGGCGACACGACACGCCCCCCCTGGTGTTCGATCCCCGGCTGTCGGACGGTCAGTCGGACGGTCGATCCGTGGTCCGACGGGCTCGGTGGAAAAAGGACGTGTCGCACGTCGCATGTGTTCACACGCGTGGCTCATCCCCCGGTCTACAGGTCATCAGGGGTGGAAAGGACGCATGCCTTTTTGTTGCTAGGATTGTGTGGTCTTGTTTGGGTCTTTGGGTCATGAAAAGAGGATATCTGGCAGAACTGATACTTAACCAGCAACTAGCCACCTGTGTCTAAGTATGGAAAAAAATATCATGTTTGAGATGAGTTTGGCAGTTTCCAGCTGGAGTGAGCGATAAAAATTGTCTAAAGACCTAGGACCTAGGTGAACTTTGTGATTCACTCGTTTCAACCGTCAGCTTATGATGAAGGACACAATTACTGTGGCTTCCCTTTTGCTTTTGGGATGTCTCAGCAGTGTCCACCGATCAGGACCAGAGAAATCGGATCTGGGATCCAGTTTGCGACCTCGTGGGTCCAACCCAGGTCCAAACCTCCTGAAAACCGCAATAAGAGTGTACAGTAAAGAAGAATGTACAGTGATATAATATTGTTTTTGTATGATCAACTGATCCACTCCAGCATTTCATGACGTCCAAGTGACCTGACCCTATAATCCGGGTGTTTGTTTCTCTTCTCACCCCATTTTCAAAAGAAAGGACCAAGCCAGGCTTCCCTGGCAGCTCGAGCGAAGATGGGAGAGGTCTGGACAACTGAAAGGAATTCCGCGACTGGTGAACCTGGGGGACGAGGAATTCCGCTGATCCTGACGCTTTCCATGTCCCGCGCCCGACGCCCGTACGACGCTCGCCGAGGTGCTTCCGTCGGCGGCAGCTGCCTTGGGCAAGATCGAGGTCCAGGCAGACCCGGAACGGAGGAGGAGTGTTTGAAGATCGTAGGAGGTAATAGTTCAGTATGGGGGAGTACCAGGTTTGGGGACGTAGAAGTTTGACTACATCAAACATGATGCTGTATGATAATATTGTACAGTGTACGACTTGTTTTCGTAACCTTGAATCCCCCAAAAGGAGAGATCTTTGCACACTTCGCCGGTTTCGGTCAACATCTTAGTTGTACGAACGGTGTGACCACAAATCTATACACAACGACCAGTGACCATCCGCCTCCCGATGGAATGTAAAACGTTCCAAACCCCTGGATTTGCTGGAGCCAGGAAGGAGCCCGGTTTCCTCCAGCAGCTCCAGCAGAAAGCAAAAAACACATGCGACGACTCACCAGGCCCAAACAAGCAAGGCGGAGAAACAGCAGAGTGAAGTCCACCGAAGGGAAGGAAGGATTTTGACCAACTGATCCCAAGAAGCCAATCAAGAGAGAAAACTGTGGCAAGCCAATTGCGGCGGAAGATGGCGCCCTGGGCGTCCTCAGAGGTAGCTGTGGGCTGAGGCATCGCTCGCATGGTCTTCGAACATCCCGGGTGATTGGACCAAGCATTTCGTCACTGACTCTGACGAGGGTGCCGAGGCAAACCATCAGGGTGTGTCTTTTGACAGAAACAAAGCTCATCAGGAAGACCATCAAGGGCAGTTGAGCGGGCACATGATGGTCATTCCATGGAGTGACCAACCCCAACCCCAAATATGGTGTGCACAGCAGGGCCGCAGGGCCAAAATGAAGACTTTCACACAAGGCGAGCCTGACTCTGTGATCACAGGCGCCGGCCAGCAGCGCTACTGGCTGGACTCGACCGATGCGCACGGCCTTTTTTCTTGCTGGCCAGCAATATGCGATAATATATATATATATATGCTTCCTGATTTACTCTATATTTATATTTATGTCGTATGATATGCCACCAAGTAGTTACTTCCAACTTTAAATAAGAGGAACTCCTTGTTTTGATTTACTGGATTTATATAGTAAATGACAACACCGCTGGATTTCCACATTTTGCTCTACGGTTGAGGTTTGTAGAAAGAACGCCCCGTTTTTGCGACAGAGTCCAGAACATTTCTTAAATGGCCATTGGATTGTTTTTGTTCAATCTTCATTTGACAAACCCTCCAGTAGATCTTGCAAGTGTTGCATAGTATTACATAATTGTATACATCTTATTTGTGTTCAATCTCTTGTGGAATGAAATGAGGTGTAATAGTAGGTGCAATATGGTGATATACATGATTCACCCACCCTTTCTGGGACAAAGAGGTGCTTCACCACCACGTCCTCCACATCCGGAGGTCGCCACGCCCCCCTTCATCCTTCTTCCTCACCACGCCAGGTCCGAGCGCTGGTGACGCGCTGCTGTGCTGAGCCGGTGACACGGATCTTGCAGCGCTATCCGGAGATGCCAGCCACGTGGTGAAGATCGTGCGGGCACGTGGTGAAGATCGCCTGCGTGGGTTTTGTTTCGGGCGTGCGGGGCGTGGTGCGTGGCGGGGCATGCGGTTTGGTGGTTGACATCGATTGTAAGTAGTTCGGTAGCAAAGTAGAAAGTCATGAAAACAAAAAAGAGTTGGGAGCTGGTTGATGTGTTTTGTTTCGACAACAGCCATTTGGGTTTACGTAGCCCCCTGGTCGAAGCGGAAGAGAATAATGAGGAAGGTTCTGTAGCAATGTCATATGCCACGCTCAAAGCGGTTGGCTTTGGGACTATCTCATTTAGTAATTTAGTAGTCCCACCATGGATTGTTTCATGGTCGGTTCTATCCAGATGACCAGGTGAATCAAACCTTTCTTAGAAAATGGGGGTCACTACAAAGGTAGATCGCTGAACTCCGTTGGATGTCTATAGAATCAGACTTGAATAGATTCTTATTATTGAATCATTGGATTGATAAGTTTGGTGAGCAAAAACTGGATCTTGTTTTCTTGGGAAGTTGACCTCGACACCATTTGTGTGTACTGGAACGCATCCAATCACCGGCCTACTGTGAGCACAGAGGAATGCGTTTGGTCAAAGATGGGCATCAATACACCCTAGTCAGTGTGCTCGGGCCTGGCGGACTGGTCGGCCTCGCGCCATCCTGGGACCCAGGAGTGGACCCTTCAGGACGAGGCCTGGGCTGTCCTGGGGGTTCCCGGTGGACCAAACCCGGCCATCCAGATGAGAAAACGGATGAGTGAACGACTCAGGCGCTGCACAGAAGTGTTCGGAGCTTCTGCACAGGAGCGAATTCCTGACAAAGAGGCCATCCAATTCTCGAGGCCAACGCGGCCCCCAACACATACGTGTTTGAAAGAGTTGCTGGATGCCAAAAGAAACACTTGTTTTTTCACCCCCAGCAGATCGGACGAATGTGAGGTGGCTTGGGAAGGTGGGCAAGTTTCAAGCTCCGCCTCGACCCCAACTGATTCCGTCCATTTCCTGACCCAGGCATTCACCTCTAGATTAGTTTAGCTTTCCTTGCAACCATGGGTTACCCTTTTACATTTGTTGAGTCTTTTTTGTTGAGTCTTTTTGGTGGTGGTTTCTGTTTCTTTTCCTTGGAATGATTGAATCCGGTCCACTGACTTTTATGTTTTGTGCGTGAGCTGAAACCACCAACCAGTTTTGGTTTCGGAAGGCTCGCTGGTTGAGCTGAGCTAAGCACTGCCTGTTTTGAGTGAACTGAGCCACACCAATAAGGGCATTCTGGGATATCAAGCCAGCCACGATGGCAGGCCGCACATGGCCCCTTGCAATGCATTACTTTGGTTCGGGCCTCCCAGTCGATTGTTCGGTGCGATTGTTGAGGTCGATTGCTCCATGGCATGGTGAGAATGAGAGATGTTGAGGAGTGGTGCCAGAAGATGCATAGTAATGGCCGGGGGGGTCACAGTTTTTGTTGGTTTTGACCTAGGCATAGTCCTAGCCGAGCCTAGAATCCGAATCCTGCAAAGAAACCTCCAAAACGGGCTGGGCAGAACATGGTTGGAGCTGCACAACCCACGGCAAGGTATAGGTTCAATCCTCCAGACTTCATTCCCAAACAAAAGAAAGCAGACTGTTAGCCCTATGTTGGCATTTGCTGTCACGGACGGACCAGGTTGGTTCGACATCTCTAGCATAAAGGCATAATATAGCATAAAGGCATAGAGCATGTCATTGCATGATACTTGGATTTCTCCCCGTGGCCACTTTTGAGTGACAAAGACCTTCCTTCGCTCCACCAACCCATGATATTCTAAGGTTCCAAGAGATCCTAGGACAAGTCCTAAGTTGACAAACATCAAAGGGAGACGTTTGCATGATGAGTTGGCGATATATTCAATCATGGTTTCCTACGTACTATGGGATCACAATATTTCACAGTCTGGAGTTTTGTTGCACGAACTGTCCCACATGATGATGTAACAT